TCCCAAAAAAAAAAAAAATACCAAATGTAAGGACAGCCCCTAATTCGCATTCATGAGTAATAATGATTAGATGAAAATATCTGTATTGAAGTCAACAAGCTACAAAACTTTGGAAGTTTCACAAATGTTCAGCTTTCCGTTCACCCGAAAGGTGTTATTAAGCTGACTAAGGCGGAGTGTTCCTTTTATGGACGAGAAACAATAAGCAATCAACGGCCAGACAGGACCATAAATCACTCAGAATCTGTCGTGGGAACTATCAGGTGCTGTGAGATAGATCACTTCATTTTGGCGATCATGGCTGGGTAAGTACTTATAGTGCATATTCTTTTACGTTACAAAAACAGTAAAGTTATAAGTCAATCATTCCCAGATTTAAAGATAATCCTGAATACCTTATGACATACCATCGGAACGTTGTTTTTTTTTAAGATAATAAGGACTAAACCAAATAGCATGAACTTTTTGTAACTATAAATAGAGTATTTATTAGCAAAAATGTAGTGTAAGACCGGAACAGGATTTTCAACCGAACTTTCGGCCCTTGTTTCAGCTTCTTTGGCTTTGGCTTCGGTTTCAGCCGAAACTCAAACTATCATTTAAAAAATAAAATACTACAATCTAGTGTATTTATAGCCGTTTATCTGATTTACCGTTAGCCGTTTATACCGACATACCATCTAACCTAAGGTACTAAGGTAGACGCATGGCATCATGTCTAAATAAGACAAAATGTATTTAGGTAGGTACTACTGAGTACTAGAAATTCACCTGTCTAAATGAACTAGATAGGTACCTCACGCGACGGGGCGAGGTGGCCAACTAGGTAATTTGCCCGGACTAACGGACTAAACGGACGGACGGACCGACTAAACGGACGGACATAGATAAAGTTAAGCAACAGCAGATCACACGTAGTATGAGTTTTTTGGGTGGTTAAAATGGTGAAATAGGGTAATACAACAACAATTAAGTATCTACAAACAAATAAATGCAAGGTTTTGAAAAACGTTGTGTAATACTGCATAAGTAATATCTGAATCAAGCATAATCTCTTTTATGTGTCATAAATAAAACTCAACAAAACGAAGCTACCTAATAATTGCTTTTGAGATAAAACAGTGTCAGTTACAAGCAAATACAAAATTTCGAAAATCTGAGACACAACGGCATCTAGTTTGAAACAAAGCAAAGATCGCACTGGACGGCGGACAACTGAGCCAGAGTCGGTGTCCACGAACTAGCCGCGAAGTTAATTGAATGACGCATGGTACTTTATGAACATTGAGTTTCGGCGCTGCCATAAATTTCGCCCAATTTTGGTAGAAACCGGAACTCGAACCGAAACTAGATTTTCGGCCGAAACCGAAACCTTCAATCGGTCACTAAAAAATAGAAATATAAATCGCGCATCGATGTTTTCGCGTCTGGTCGTTATTTTGCCAACAAACTTAATTTTGCCATAGATATAAGTTTTTGATGTTTACAAACAAAGGAACAATGAGAGTCATCCACAGAAAAACGGGTAGTGAAATGATTCGGTAAGGGGTTTTTTCTCCTTTCGCGGATCGGAACCTTAAATAGCGAATGCCATCTCTTATCGTGTAGTTACTGGAAATATTAATGAGGGTAAGAGAGTGCATTTGCAGAGTTGCATTAAGCTTTCATATCTGCTATCAATTATCACTTACAACAATGTCATAAAGCTGAAATTTGCTTAAACACACTCATCTTTAGTTTTTTAATTAGATAGGCTTTTCATTGCAGAAGTCTATATAAATAGCCCGTTACGATATAAAGAAGCTAGTGTAAATGAGGTATACAGCTTGGAAAAATTGGAAATCGAACTAACAATACATTACAAATAATATCGCTTAGGTCACAAACATCTTTAAAAATTAGCAAAACTATTTAAATAAATATTTAAAATATAATTTCCTGACAGTACATCTCGTGCCTGTTTAAATAATATAGTATTTTAAATCAACTAATAACGATAAATTATATTAGAACAATGACGCACAAAACTCAGAAATTAAAAAGCACGAATAGGTACTCACCCTAATAATATATTTACTGAATGTGACATTCAAATGTTTAGCTACTGTTTGGCGAATGTACCTACTTGAAATAAAAACTCGACCCATTCAAGTCGTACAGGAGTAACTACCTACGTATCGTTTCCTAACCCCTTTTTAGATGTAAATATGCGTACGAAGGGGTTGTCACCGAACGACACAGCGAATGTTTACAGAAAAAACATACGAGGAATGTTTATCTTGTTGGAAACCTTTTACTTTTCGTTGATTGTGTTTTTAAATCATCTGTCACACATAAAAGAAATGAAAACAGCAAAACGCATAGGTATTTAAATTTGTTTGACGTAAAACAAATGAGTCTTTGTCTCTACTTAATTCTAGTACCCTTTTAAAGCTTACTGGATACTTTTTAATACAAACAAATTCTCAAGCTACAGGTAAGTTTTGACTGCACGGATGGCGTAGTGGTTTAAGCGGTCGCCACGCCGCTTCCTTCGATGCTGAGTGTTGTGGTTTGGATCCCCACATGGGACGGCACTTTGTGTGATCCAAAAATTATTGTTCTGTCTGGGTGTTCTTTGTTTCCGTTTAATGTATGTTTGTAAAGTCCCCCGCTACACAGAATATGCTAATTAAGCGGGAGTTGTCTTTATAAAAGAAAATAATAATGTTTAAATTAATTTTAGGATTTTTTTATGGTAAATATAGAAGGGCAAACAAGCAGATGGGTCAGATAATGGTCAGTAAATGACTGCCGCTGTCCATGGACGTCTGCAATTCAAGAATCACAAGTGCGTTACCACCCCCGCCTGCTCCTCCCCCATAAAATCAAGGGATTCTTCGGTAAGACGGAACTGGAATATCTCCAGTAACTTGGAAACTTTCGTAATAGATATAATGGCATAATTAAATATACCACAATATTGTTTTTCTGTAGGCCAGTATGTCAGTTATTAAAGACTAAAAGGTAAAAAGGCAATGAATGGATGAAAAAAGATAAAGAAAAAAGATGGAATAGAAATGAAAGTGACTAAAACATAAAAAACAAGGCAAATACAAATGAAAACACACAAACCCACACTACATTATTTTCCACTTAAGAAATAGTCTGTGCTAAATTAATCCCAAAGCATTCTTGTCTTCTATGTAATCAACAATTGAGTAGTAGGCTTCCTGACATAATTTACGTTTTATTGCGAATTTAAAGTTTGTACTTAAGTCTTGTATATTATTTGGGATTTTATTATAAATTCGGACACATTGCCCTCGAAATGACTTGTTTATCTTACACAATAAGTTTATTCCTTTTTTTGGTTTTTATAGAATTTACATCATTTCTTTTCGAAAAGCTATCTTTGTTTTTATGAACATATATTATATTTTCATATATGTATTGACATGCCCTGTCATTATGTTTATTTCTTAAAAATTTTGCCTCAATGAACAACAATTGCCTAAATTAAACTCCTGCTTAGTATTATTATTAGTATTCCAAGCTATAGTTGTTTAGTTAACCAGTTGTCATACAATGTTCTATTCAGATTACAAAAATTTCTGAAAGAAAGCTCTTTCAGTAAACTCAGTTCCTTAATTTTGTTTCACAATATTTCCAGGTTTCTATCTCAGACTAATACTGTCTGTTGCAAATATGTAAAATTAAATACAAAAATTATTGTAATTTTTTTCCATTTCCATCCTTTTCCAATTAAAAATATTATGGGGACCTTTGAATTATCAAGATTATTAGTAAGTCTAAGTCAGTTTCGCAGTTAATCGCGTATTCCATGCTTGGGTATAGTATTTGGAGAAGAATAGGCCAGAAGCCCCAAGAATAGCAAAAAAACACCAATTCAGTTAAAAAAAACTGATCAAAAGTTTTTAATCTTTTATAAATTAGTTTGACTCTCTGGAACTCTTAGGCAGTGTAAACTTTAACGTTCCTCCCGAACGTACTCGACATACACCCTTACTGACGGTCCCATTCCCTTCAACAAAATATATTAAAATGTCACCATTTAGTAGTATGGCAGACAGTTACAATGAAATATTTAGCTCACTGGATCCCTTTTATCTCCACCGCAACTCTTTTAAAAAACATATAATCAAGATGGTATCGCAGAAGACAAAAATACTAACGACTAACATAAGGGTGTCTAACGCAACTATACACAAGCATATAGGGTTACACTCATACCTACCCTCAGACATAAATACACACACACACACACTCTCACAAACAAGCAGACACGCAACCTACACACCCACACACGATTACACACACACACGATTACACACAGACATCGTGACACATACTACAATCATGACACACACACACAATTAACATAATGCATCTGCATGGGTTCACTTTTGTTTACTTATTCTACCTGTTATATTGTTTACTTCGTAATTGGCGTAATACTTTGTAAATTTTCTACAGGTACTTACTGTCAGCTGTGAAGGACCTAAATAAATAAAATAAAATAAAATATCTCAAAAGACATATATTCAAATTTGCTAACTTTGACACTTAGACGTAAACAGCTGAGTATTGGTTTTGACGTTAAGTGGCTTGGTACAACATAACCTAAGTCGTCGGCTTTTAAGGTTAAAACTTCATTTGTGTTTCTATTGTTGTGTGAGAAAATATTGTAAACTTCGAATGCAGTATAGGTTTAGTATTTAATATTTTAAGTAAACCAAGTGCCGGGTTTCCTGACACTTGCATACACTTTGTACGTGAAGCGTAAAAAAAAACTTGTTTATATTATCCTAATTTCCTTTAAAAACACTTATTTTCTTAGGGTTAATTTAGATTATAGATCTGATTAGTCCTTTCATGTTATAAATAATGTACTAATGTTAGGTTACATTAAACATTTAGTTAGTATTTCTAATAGTTTTAAAAATAAAGTCTTAATTAATTGTGGATTCAAAGTTAATCTTAGAAGTAAATTAAAAGCCATGGCAAGTGAGAATCTGAATATTAATATAAAAAGCGAATTGGAGTCAGACCAGCCGGCAAAAAAAATAAAATTGGAACCAAAATTAGAAAGTGATGTGAAACAATCTGTTATGACAAGAACTGTGGCAACTATGTGTGGAGCTTGGAGACCTGAAGAAGAATATGGGGGCTTGATCTTCGTCTTTAAGGATAGGGATGGTGGCTTGAGTCCTGATCCAGTGAATCAAGAGGACTTTCCGGAGAACATTGAAGATTTCTGGGAGGCGAGCCTGTTGGCCATCGATGATAAACAGGTGTGTAGCTTTAGTATAGATAACAAGAATAATACTGATATGAAAAAAAAAATTGTAGCTAATAATATAGTGTAATACATTATACATACAAAAAAATAATATGAATCTGGTTATGGTTTCTTATCATTTCGTGAAAAAGTTAGCGCCATCTCTTAGTATGTACCTGTACTAGTATAAAGGGCATGCTTTATAATTACTTGGAGCCAAGAAAGTTTCTATTGGTGTTAACAGATGGCAGTAAAAAACATTTTGGTTGCCTACTGTCATTCTAAATTTTTCTAACAGAGGGCGTTTATCTAAATATCTTAATAACATATAAGTTGTGAATTTTTAGATTTCTCTAATGTTTACAGAACCGCTAAAAGCCCGCTGTGCGTACTCCGTTTAGATTATTTTCGTAATGGATATACCGCTGCGTATTAAATAGAATTTGGTTAAAGTGTAATATAGAGACAGCCATCACTACGTATATGGAATTGTAGCAACTATAACTTATTGTCTGTGCAATATTAAACAGAAATAAATATTTTCTTATAAAACTTTTAAAATGCCTGAACAGATTTAAATGTAATGGATATTCTTAGAATATTAATAAGAATTATGATGCCATGTTCAAATTAACAACAAACTAGTATTTTTATTTTCATAGTATAGTGAGGGCAGATGGATCACCTGATGATAAGTGGCTACCGTCGCCTATGGACACCTAAGTTACAAGACGTGTTAGTCACCAGTCAGTGGGTTTGGGCTCCAGTTTAGTTAGTACCTCACCCACTTGGTGAAAAACAAAAAAAGGTGTGTGGCACTCGGGGACTGCCGCGGTTAAGCTATTGCATAGCATTTTTTATGAACTTAGTATTAAATAATTATCTCAGGAAAACCCTATAGAAATTTGCCCGGCCGGGAATCGAACCCAGTAAGGCAGCGTTTTCAAATTCCACGCGAACGAAGTCGCGGGTACCAGCCAGTATTAAATAATTATCTTAGGAAAACCCTATAGAATTTTGGCCGGCTCCGGAATCGAACCCACTAAGGCAGTGTTTTCAAATTCCACACTAACAAAGTCGCGGGTACCAGCTAAAAAATCTGTAGGGGCCAGATTGTTCGTCTCCTTTTCCCGGTTCAGACGAACCCAAACATGGGGTGTCCAAGTGCTCCAGGAACCGAGAAAATCAAAGGGGGGATAAATGAAAAAAGTTGAAGGGTGAGGGGGAGGTATTTTGTGCGGACCTTAATGCAATTATAAAATTTTTGGTGGAGGGGTGGGGGGGGGGGGGGGTATTGTATGTGGAGGTTATTACATTAATAAAAATAAATTGGTCTCCCCCTTTGTCATGTCAAAGGAACACCCTACCTTAAAAAAAGTTCTGCTATTCATCGATAGATGGCAAAACTAAAAAGTATCACCACTGTGCCCGTCGAAGTGGGGAGCGTGAGGTTTTTTTCGTTACGGAAAATCTGGATTCGGTCCCCGCGCTCAAGGCCCGCGATAGAAGCTATGCAATAGCTTAAAAATAAAACTTCTTAACACCGGTTTTCTGTTTACTCTACCTCTAGCCGAGACGGCCCATCTGTGCCGAAGCATGACTCTCTCACGGTAGATCATTTAAAAAGACAATGTAATAGTATGATGTTTGATGAAAGGTCATTGACATGATTACTAATTTAAAAAAAAATACTCGTGTTTATGTACACGTGGACGTGTAACAGTACTTTTTACGTTTTATCTTTACAAATAATAAATAATATAATTGTTTTAAGTAGTTGTTATTATAACGTAAATGTCACTATTTAGACAAAATAATGACATAAACACGTTAAATGCTTTGTACGAGTTACATATAATTATAAGAACACGCACAGCCAGTAATTTTACGTATAATTTCTTAAATTACGTATGAGTAAGTAACAAATATAGAAAATAGTGAATCTACGCTTATTTTAAGTAAAAATTTGTATGATCTTTAGTTGAGTATAAAAATTATCAATGTTAGTGGGATAGTGGTGGTTTAAGTGATACACCTAAGTAATTTTCGATTTAAAAATAATGGGAATATTCTCGAATTGGAACGGTCCAACTGGTCCTACACCGGAATATGGTTAGGCAGCCCATCTAGCGTGTTAATGTTTTTCACTGTAACTCAACCGGGTTAAAGGGGGTTATAAGGACGTGTGTTTGTGCACGTGTCTGAATAAGTGTCATGTTTTTGTATATAGAATTATGTTTCTACGGATATCACTGCCTCGGTGGCGCAGTGGTAGCGTATGCGACTGCTGTTTTGAGGTCTCGGGTTCGATTCCCGGGTCGGACCAAAGGTTTGTATGATTTGCAAATATTTGTTTCAAAGTTTGAGTGTTTTCTATGTATAATACGTATGTATTTATAAAAAAAAGTATATAATTATTTTATCAGTCAATCTAGCTTTCACAGTACAAGCTCTGCTTAGTTTGAAACTTGATGGCGTTCTGTCAGATGTCCGAAAATATTATTATTATATTTTGCAGGTCAGCTACTCCCATCAACAGTTCAATATACGTACTAAGCTTTCTAACGTACTAAGCTGCTCTCACTTGAGGAAGAGTAATTCATAAGTGAGCTTCTCCTTTATGCAAGCTACGTTCCGCGTACGTGCTATTTTATACAAAATAACGTTTCGGTATCCCACTCTAAATATATATTAAAATACAGTATGAGATTAACATTTGTTGCAACGATTGCCGATGCTGTTATTGAGATTCATCAACATCATCATCAACAGCCTATATCAGTCCACTGCTGGCCATATTCATCCCATGGATGTCGTAAGAGGCAACTAAGGGAGCATACTACGCAAGAAAACAGCACTGCAAAGAGAAGGAAAACTTAAAACAAACCCTATACCAACCCGTCTGGCCAGCGTGCTATAGTAGGCCAAAACCTCGTTTCTAAGAGAGGCCTATGTCCAGCAGTAGACTAGTAAAGGCTGTTGATGATGATGTCCTGTCTTATTTCCAAAATCATCTTGAACTGGATACGCAGGACCACAACACGACACGCCTCTAAAAACGAATTGACAATATATAATTTTCAAATGGTACGAAACATTTGAGCAGTATTTAAAACGTGTTGTCAACGAAACTGTTATGACAAAGGCGAATTCCAGTGTCTCCGTGTGCCGTACAAAATTGCGGGCATTCCAGCGAAACTCGACAGCGTAAATTCTTTAAAACAACTTTGAATTTTGTAAGTACAAGCGCATATTGTTGCCAACCAGCGCATGTATATGCTGCGTGGCTACTTCTAAAAGCTGTTTTTAATTTGGTCATATGCCACAACACCATCTAGTTTCAAACTGAGCAGAGCTGGTAATATGAAAGCGAGATTGACTGAAGAAGAAGACTTATTTACTTTTTTGTAAATACATACATATTATACATAGAAAACACCCAAAGCCTGAAACAAATATTTGCAGGTCATAAGGACCGAAGAACATTGGACCGATCCGGGAATCGGACCCGAGACCTCAGCACAGCAGTTGCTCCATAGATTATCCGCAATAGTTCCATAGATTATCGCGCTTAAACGAAGAAATAATTGAACATAAAACCGTACATTGTAGAATTACCTGCTTCTCTAGCACCGCAAATTGTTATGGTTATTAGAAGAAGAAGTGTATGGATTGAATCCGGATGTATTGTTGTTGTTTGTAACAGTACAGCCTAGGTGACTACTCGATGAAGAAAAGTAAAGCTGTGTTGGAACCTTAAAACTTCTTAATCAGAGGTAGTGACAATCTTTCAGGATTCCAAGACTTACTTTTCTTTGGACTCGCTCAGTGTGTTTTGTGAAGCTTTCGAACGTTGTTTTGATCCCGGTGCATTGATACCTTTTCGCTAAAAGCGTAAAACTCATAAATGTAAGATATCGACTCCTACATTCGCTGGTTGCTGTGATCATGGCATTCTAGAACGTCTTAGATATCATTTTAAATTATGTGAAAATGGTTTTGTAATGCCAGCATAATTTATATTACAATATCTCTTAGAAGGTAGACAGAATACTTTAAGTTAACTTTGTACGTAAAATTGTTTAACTTCCAAACAGTGGTTAAGATAAAACGATCTTGTTCGCTCTGCGTGTGAAGTAAACTTGCCAAAGTGTCAAACGTACGCAGAAAATTTATGAGATGTGTTCGACTTTTCCATAGATATTATGTGTATGTAACGATTCCACCGTATTATACAACATACACAACATTATGCGATGCTATTAGAACGACTTAAATCGGCGAACAGCTCTTTCTGACCCCTCTAGTTTTCCACTCAATCAAGTTCTATTCGGATCTCAGCAAAAAGACATCCTTCGAGGTGCACAAATTAAGTGTTCAATAAATGAGTAAGTATTGAGTGAACAAAACAAACATTAAAGTAAATGAATCGAAATTAATTAATTAAATGAATGGCTTTAAATTTATCATCATTTAATGAATAATGTGATCGGGATCTTCTCTTTCGATGAATCTTTCTCTCTGAAATTCTTATAGATATGATTATTTAATGATAATTTAATTCAGTAAAGGAATAATTGAGGTAATTAATCATTTAATGTAATCCGATTGTGATATAAATGATTTCAGATGACGACGACAATGTTATTTTACAAATAAAAAGATGAAATATCATCGTTAAAGGACTCATTTTAGCAACAATTAAAACAGTATTTTTTTATAATTTTTGTGTTTATATTATTTTTATTAAAAACTAGCTTTTATCCGCGAATCCGCCTGCGGGTTGCCGTGAAAAGAAGCTTATGTTACCCGCTGACATACATTATCAGCAAGTAACATAAGCTACTTTTTTACTTTTCATTGGTGATAGAAGAAAATCGGTTTAGTGGTTTAGACGTGAAAGCTTAACAAACAAACAAACTTACTTTTACATTTATGATATAAGTATGGAAGTATGGATGTAACAACTGTGTCTTTTTATGCCTTGGCAAGTTAGCGAATAAGCATGTCGTCAACCATGTTATCTCCGCCAATAGATGATAGTTCTTTTAGAAAAAACAAGAATAGTTTTGTAGGGACTTTGTCGTTGTCTTTTTATTTTCTCAATTTTATTTGAGGTCGATGCAACATCGTCGGGTTTGCAAAGTGTTTGATAAGTGACTTTTATAGCCGACCTGGGCCCCAATTCTGCTATTTTTAATATTGTATCAATAGACTGTCGATGGAATGTTGTTGATATCACCATTGATGAGGCATCGCCACTCCAGCGACAGTCTGTTGACACTGTGAATTTATAACCCAAGTGTAAGTTATTTCTGCCGCCCATAGACATGTGCAACGTAATAGTCATTCAAGATTCAAGTGCATTGCCGTACTTTCGAGTCCTCTACCTAGAATCAGG